AAAAAAATCACAGACAAATGTCAACAGTTCCAGGTTTAAATCAATGAAGTTTGACTCCCTGCCAAAAAGATTTTTAATCTAAAGTGTCACCTACATTTTTTTCTGTTTCACTCCATCTCCTATTTAGAAATAGTAAAAAATTGTTTTATCATAATAGTTCTATAAACTGCAATTGTAAATAATTATTTTACTTATCACTGTAGTAAGAAATAATCTGTATTTATTAAGAAAAAGTGATTTGCCCAAGGTCATATAGTCACGTGACAGAAGGGAAAAAGAAAATACTTCATATAATTAGGAGTCAGCACTGTAAATACAAGGTGAGAGGCAGCAAGATTTTTCTCAGTAAGTCTTAAAACATAAGGAAGTAAGCTCATGTGTATGAGGAGGAAAGAATAAGCAGAGTGTATAAACAGTAATGCTTCATGACATTTTAGTTTAAGATTATTTTTAAATTCCAGATCCTGTCAGAGTCTATAAGGACCTGAGAAAGCCCTTTCTTAAATGTCCTCTTTACCAAATAAATTATTTGAATTTTTTTCACATTAAGCAGCCTCATATTTCTCAGAGTTTTGTACTATGGGAATGACTAAACTGCTTCCCTCAGTAAAACTGCACTTGTAAAAGTAAGTATTCATAAACTGAGGTCTTTCTTACTGATCCCAAGCAGTTGGTGAGATGGCTTATACTAGGAAGCATGAGGCAGGATGCAGCTTACAGATCTAGGGCAACATAGTTAATGCAATCATTCACTGACAGTTCAAAGATATATATAACTGCATAAGTTATCTGTATGTTTTAGATATAAAAAACCCCAACACCTTAGCACTATTTTCAACAGTATTTCTTATTAAAATACTTGCAACATTTACTTTTGCAACTGAAAGAAAAAGCAGTTTAGTAGTTATAGGCAGGATGTTCAAGGAATGACAAGCAGCAGGGAATAGGGAACTGAGTTTTGTCAGAGGAAGTGATTATTAGCTCTAAGGAGACAATCAGGAAACATGAAGAGTCAGCATCTTAGCTGCTTTGTTTTGAAGACGAGGACAAAGCCCCATCAAATTCCACGTATAATGGAATGTGGAACATGAGACCACCGGTAAAACCAAAACAACGAACTTTAAAGATGGAATTGTATCAGTACCTAACAAGGACAGAAACACTATGACGTTAATAATTTAAAAAATCCCACACTGGATCTGCATGAGCAATCAGTTCACCAAAGAACAGAGAGAAAAGTGTTTTCTTTTGTACATATGTATATTTTATGATATTTTACATATATGAATGCAATGTTTGAAACAGATGGACACCTAGATGCTAGCTGCTGCCTGATATACATAGCAGTGCTGTCAAATAAATTAGGCAGAGCTGGAATTCAGTTATTTCTTTGTAATGGTTTCATATTACTGAAAGAGACTAAGCACGTGCCTTCAGCTTTTCTATCTACTCAGCCAATTTTGGATATTAATACATAACGGAGTTATTTTTCTTTAAACTCCAAGTCTCTGTTGGTGAGCCTTGTCTTTTTCAAAATACTTCCCTGTGTAACCTGAAGCTGAAGGGGACGCGGAGAAACACCCAACTCCTTGGCCTGGTGTTTTCCTAAGGAAGACCTTAGCTCACTGCCCTATCCTAACCCACCATTAAGCTGTGGTATTCTCCAAGGTCGCCGACCTCAATCTGCCTGTGAACCACCACGAGGTTTGGAGAGCTCCCTTTGCCCTCAGGCACTGTCCTTCCCACTATTGCCCAGGAGTGGGCAGGCCTGGGCACACTCATATCTCAAACACTGCCAGCCTGCTGGCACTGCTCCTCCTTATCTGCCCTGACACCACGAAAAGCACAAGAGAAACACAACCCTAGAGGTGGAAACTCTAGCCCAGGGCAGGGCAACTCGTTAGAAGAGAGAGGACCTAAAGCATGCTCCTGTCGCTCTCATTACTAATTCACAACTGGCCTGTGCCCACCGAGGAGAGAGACTAGGATACAAACTACAGAACTACAGAGGTTAGTATTTATTCATGCACATCAGGTGCCCCAGCAAAACTGGGCACACCCCAGTGATTGCATTTTTTTAGGGGTTTTTTACAAGAGTATGAGATGAATCACCTAATTACCTCCTGATGCCTATTTCTAATTATCCAATCATAAATGTGGTACAGCAAAGCAACTATATTTATGTCTTGCAGCAGCAGCAGCATCCATCAGCATCCTTGTGGTTTATCTGTTAATCCAGATGTTTCTGTCATCAACTTCTGCAAAGTAATCAGACATCAGCAACTTGGGTTTCTCTTAGATACGAAGCTTCCTTTCTTAGTCAATCGCTTGTTCTTCTCCGTAGGGGCAAGATACTGATATAGCACCACAGCATGTTCTTGGCACCCAGTGACATTGTGGTCTCAACAACTTACATCACACTGTCCCTTTTGAACAACTCGATGGTTACACAGTGAGTGATGCCCAGACAGTGGGCCCGCCCGCTGCCCAGGATGCACAGGCAGCCCACGTTGGGCTGCTTGAGACTGTGGGCAAACTCCTTGTGAAGCAAGAGAGGACGGGGCTGGGCAGTTCTGCAAGGGTGGGCAGCCACCAAGGCCTCCCCAGGCTGGGCCCCCTCACACACAGCCCCACTGCGTACAGCCTCACCTGGCACAGCTGGTGGGCCTGGTCAGACGTGAGTGCACAGTGGAGTGCCGACCTCACTCCTGGGGTGACAGGGGCAGGCAGGGCAGGGACGGGCAGGGATGGGATGGGATGGGCAGGGATGGGATGGGATGGGCAGGGACGGGCAGGGACAGGCAAGGATGGG